TACTTTTTCTTCAAAATCCCAGCATATTTTCTTACAATTTGACCCATTCTGTTATTTTAGGAAAAGTAAAAATTTAAACACATTTTCAAAATTTTCATGAAGTTAGCATGAATCTGGAGGCGTGCTGCTTTAATATATAATACAATTTTAATTGTAAATTTTAAGATATTCAGACTTTGAGTATATCTTTGTAACATCCGTCCCCTACCCACACATAAGATGTAATATTTTGAAAAAAGTATTCAAAAACTTATCTTCTCTTTCCAAAAAAATTGTTACAGACATCCTAAGGTTCTTCAAAAAGCTAATATTTTCTTGTATGTTTAACTTCATTTTCTGACTTGGATGCTAACATAATTGGCCCATTTACTGTGCAGCAGGCAACAAGTATTTGAAGTATTTTTCATAGTTTCATAGCAGTTTAAACTTGTCACAGGAAGCTTTTAATGAAAACAGCCATTTTTCACAATAATCTCATGCGGTAAAAGGTTAATCAAATTTTGAACTTAAAATGGAGGTATGAAGGGCCGTAAAGGAGGTGGAGGCCGCAATACCTAAATTAAATTTTGCTCTGTTCTTCTTTTACTTTTAGATGTTTAAGTGTAATAAATTTACCATGCTTAGTCAAATCAATGTTTTGAAATTAATTATTACCTGACTAACAGCTGTAGTTTACTTACACTTTAAAGAAATATCTGTTTAAAAGGTTTCATTTTACAATTGAAAATTCCAGTCTAATGCTTGATAAAACCATCTTTCTGCTAATGTGTTTACATTTTAATAATGTTTAAATAAAACTTTCAGACTCAAGGCTACTTGTTAACAGTTAGATATCAACCTGATTACAATTTTGCTCTCAACCAAAAATGCCCAAAAAGATTAGGCCTAAAGGCTACAGAAATAGAGCCAGACAGAACAGAGAACGAATGGCACAGAACTCTGATGACAGTTCTTAGGTGGATGAACTGATTGCTAGACATGTAAAAGGACCAGAATCTGGGGTAAAATGTTTGTTTTGTATTAATTTACATTTAATTCATATTAATGAGATAATTTAGCCAAAGCATGTTATGTGATATATAACAGTATTGCACTTTATAATTAATTTCAATAAAAATATTATTGTAAGTGGTAAGCTTAGAAGAATATGCATTCTCCTGGTATAAAAGTTAACCTAGCTTTTACCCCATGAGCATATTGCGAAAAATGGCCATTTTCACTGAAAAGCCTCCTGTAACACGTTCAAACTGCTATGAAAGTATGAAAAATGCTTCAATACTAATGAAACTTGGCACAAATGTTGACTACACCATAGTCTCTGTAACAGCATGCTCAATGGTAAATTTCCTGTTACCATGGCAATGGGGGAACGTCTCAAAATTGCCAAAAAAAAACTATTTTGCATTGTTTTTTTTTCATCAAAACTGATTTCAAAGTGCTGCAACTTCTCAATGAATTGAGATAGAGTAAAAAGCTTTTCAGCGTCGGTTACTAGCTACCCTAGGTTCGACCTGAGGCCATTTTCAGCCTGTCACATGTCCAAAATTTTCTTGGAGATGAGGGGGTCTCCGCCCCCCTTCAAACCCCCCAAACAGAAGGGGGCACATCCCCCTTCTGGCAACCTCCTGATGTAATATTTGGATGGGGGACGGCGCCGAAAAAGTGGTCACTTTTTTGAACAACATTTCTCAAACGAAAAACAGTGTTTGGGGCCTAAATAAAGCATTTTTTCACTGTTTGAGGCCTCAAAAGGGGGGGGGGGGGCAAAAAGCCGTCGAAACAAGCTTATAAAAGGGAAAAGGTTAAGGAAACATTAATAAATTGTGTTGTTCAATTTTACATTTACTTTATAAGAATTAGAGGTTGTAAGGACATGTAAATATTTATTACAAATATTTTTCATATTTTTTTCCAGATACACCATGGTTTATTTAAATCGGTTGATCTAAGCTGGCAGGTAGACAAGGTCACTGATATTAACCAGAAATACAATGCTGGATTGAACATAGAATATAATCTACCACAGACACAACAGTCCCCTATCAATGCTCCTGGAAGGTGTGAAAAAATTGTTGGTGATGGGAATTGTTTTTTCCGATGTATATCATTCCTGCTCTGTGGTAGTCAAGAATATCACATTCATATACGACACACGCTACTGCTACATATGTGTTCATTCTCAGTCTTACTTAGTTCCCTTCTCGCACCAAATGTCGGAATGGCTGAATATATACATCAGTCTGGGATGTCAAAGGATAAGGTTTGGGCCACTCAAGTCGAAATTATAGCAATGGCGCATTTATTGAAAACTGACATATATACTTATTCTAAATATGGTAGCAAGCTTAAATGGTTGAAACATTCAGCAACATTTACCGATTCAAATATGCAAGTTTGTGATAAAAACATTTATTTGGATCATTCTTCTGGGTGTCATTTTGATGTGGTTCTATCAGTCGGTCCAGTGAAAAGCATCGAGCAAGGGACTTATGAAAACACTATGTTGTGGAGTGAACTTTTAAGACAAGCTTCTAGAAAACAATATGTCAGAAATTATTTGCAAAAAAAGAGAAGAGATCCAGATTTCAAACATAAGGAAAACGAAAAGAGAAATACAACTAGGAAAGTGTTGAGAACTGACAGTGCTTATAAGGAAAGTGAAAAACAGAAAAGAAATACCACTAGAAAAGTGTTACGAACTGACAGTAGTTATAAGGAAAGTGAAAAACAGAAGAGAAATACAACTAGAAAAGTGTTACGAACTGACAGTACTTATAAGGAAAGTGAAAAACAGAAGAGAAATACAACTAGAAAAGTGTTACGAACTGAGAGTGCTTATAGGGAATGTGAAAATCTGAAGAAAAATGCTGGTAGAAAAGTGTTAAGAACTGAGAGTACTTATAAAAAACAGGAAAATCAGAAGAGAAATACAAGCCGGAAAGTGTTAAGAACTGACAGTGTTTATAAGGAGAGAGAAAATCAGAAAACAAATATAACTAGGAAAGTGTTAAGAACTGAGAGTGATTATAGGCACATTGAAAATCAGAAAAGAAATATAACTAGGAAAGTGTTAAGAACTGAGAGTGATTATAGAGACATTGAAAATCAGAAACGAAATATAAACAGGAAAGTGGTAAGAACTGAGAGTGATTATAGGGACATTGAAAATCAGAAACGAAATATAACTAGGAAAGTGTTAAGAACTGAGAGTGATTATAGGGACATTGAAAATCAGAAACGAAATATAAACAGGAAAGTGTTAAGAACTGATTACAATGTTAAGAAAACAGAAAACAAGAATAGGAATAAAACCCGGAGAATTAAAAGAAATAATCCAATTATTAAAGCTAAAGAAACACTTAGTAGGAGAAAATGGAGGTCTTCAAAGCAGAGAAAAAAGAAAGAAAAAATACTGCAGTACCTATCTAGGAAAAAGAAAAAAACTAGAACTGTGACTCTTGAAACACAGGTGCTGCTTTTTAATGATTTGCTTCATAAAGGAGATAATTTTGTGTGCACTTGCTGCCATCAGACATTCTATCAACACAGTGTCTACACTGTAGGTCGTCAGAACCTCATCAACAAAGGAATATCGCCGCAATTTTTAGATACTGTACTCACAGATTACAGAAGCATGTCTGAAACAGAGTGGATTTGTAAAACTTGCTACAGATATATATCTTGCAGTAAGATACCACCTATGTCAATCGCCAATGGGTTTTCAATGTCAAACTTACCAGAACGTTTAGCGAGCCTACATCCTACTGAAACAGAAGAGAGGTGCACAGCCTTACGGATACCTTTTATGCAGCTAAAGCAGCTTGGTGTTGGTAAACAACTGGGAATCTATGGCAATACAGTCAATGTTCCAATGAACCCATCAAGTGTAGTGAATGTTCTGCCAAGGAGATTTGAAGACTCAGAAACGATTCATCTACATTTTAAAAGAAGACTCCAGTTCAAGTCTTCCTTGTTACATGAAACAGTCAGACCAAAAGTTATCTATGACATAACTAAATATTTTATTGAGAACAGTGACTTGTATAAAGAAGAAAGCATCAAGTTAGATAGTCATTGGTTTAAAGATAGCCAACAGAATCCTGACATTGACTTTGTCTCATTTGAAGACTTACAAAGTGTAAATGAACAACAAAGTAAAACTGATAACTCTACAGTATCAAAGGTAAATGATGAGGTTGATACATGGAATGAACTCACTGAAAATGAGCAGGCTGGTGCAGGAAACAAAGATACTATGTTACAAAACATTGATTTCACAGATGATGGTGTACATGCCCTCCAAATAGCACCAGGAGAGAAAAACCACCCAATTAGTTTGTTTATGGATGCATATTCAGAGGAGAAGTCATTTCCAGTTCTTTTTGCTGGAAGAAAGAGGCCTGAGAATGATGACCGTCTGGTACCAATCAGATATAGTACTGTTTGTAAAGCAGAACTCAGAAATGTTGATGGTAGGTTTGCCAAGTCAGTTCCAAATATTTTCTTTAAGTTGAAGAAACTACAGGCACTTCAAGTGAAGGACATGGCCACCACTGCTCTCAGAAAGTCAAAGAATGTGTCTTTCACAGCTGGTGAACTTAAATCTTCAGAAAATATACAGAACATACTCAAACATGATGAAGGTTTCAGGTTCCTGAAGAATTTGCGCTCATCACCGCCATATTACCAAACAAAGCAGAAAGAATTATTTGCAATGATTAACCAGTTGGGTTTGCCTACTTTTTTTGCAACTTTTTCTGCTGCCGAGACAAAATGGACAGATTTACTTCAGTTGTTATGTAACAAATCTGGAAGACAAACAAATGAAGACACTGTTGAAAATCTCACCTGGATGGAGAAATGTGAATTGATCCAGAAAAACCCCACTACGTGTGCCAGGCACTTCCACTACAGGTCACAACTGTTTTTGAACAATATACTTAAATCAGATCTCTCACCTATTGGGAAGCTTGTTGACCACTATATACGTGTAGAATTTCAGCAGAGAGGATCACCCCACTTACACTGCTTATTCTGGATTCAAGGTGCCCCAATGCATGGAATCCAAGATGATAAAAAGGTCATTGAGTTCATTGATTCTCACATCAGTACCAGTTCAGATGTTGATGAAGACAGCAAGCAGTTTTTACAGCTACAAGTGCACAGGCATTCTAAATCCTGTAAAAAAAAAGGTAAAGAAATCTGTCGTTTTGGGTTTCCGCTCCCTCCCATGAAAGAAACCCTTATTTTGGAACCGTTTGACTCTAAAACTGATAAAAAACTACATAAACAGAATTATGAGAAAGTGTTGAAAGTGATCAGCAGCTTACCAAAAGATGAAGATATAGAGTTTGATGAGTTCCTGAAACAATGTGGACTTACATATGATGAGTACATTAGTGCTGTAAGGTCATCACTAAAAAAGAAGCAGGTCTTACTTAAGAGAGCAGTAAAGGATACAAGGATCAACGGCTATAACTTGCATATTCTAAAGATATGGCAAGCCAATACTGACCTTCAGTTTGTATTGGACCCTTGGGCTGTTTGTGTGTACATAGCAAGCTATATGATGAAATCGCAGAGAGGAATGAGTAATCTGCTTCAAACAGCTACTGAAGAGGCCAAAAAGGGAAATGTGAAACTCAAAGACAAACTCCGACACATCTCTAACAAGTTTCTGAATCATTGTGAAGTGTCAGCTCAAGAAGCCATTTATTTATTGCTTCAGTTGCCACTAACCCAAAGCTCCCGTGATGTGATCTTTGTTAATACATCTCCACCAGAGAAACGTGTCGAAATTCTAAAATCTTCGGCCCAACTTCAACAATTACCTGATGATTCTACTGAGGTAACCTGTGCTGGTTTGTTAGGTAGATATGCTGAAAGACCTATTCAACTGGAAACTTTGAGTCTTGCTGAATTTGCAACTTCATTTGAACAGAAACTTCAGAGAAAAAGTACCACATTTGAAACAGAAAGTGAAGTTAATGATGACACAGATAACAATGTTGAAAATGTCAAGCCAGGACTTGAAATTAAACTGCCAAATGGTTATCGACTTGTTCAAAGAAGAACTCCAAAAGTTGTCCGCTATGTAAAATATAGCATCAAAAAAGACAGCGAACTGTTTTATAGAGAACAGATAATGTTGTTTTATCCATGGAGGGATGAAAGTATGTTGATGGGTACATCTTCATCATATGAAAACCAATACAGACAGATAGAAGCAGATATTTCAAAGGTACGCTCTACATTCCAGTCAAATGTGGAAGGAATAGAAGAAGCAATAAAAGCTGTAAGTGAAGAGCAAGTTGACGAAGAACTAGATGAGATTGCACCGGCTGCCAGACAGTCAGAAGAAGATGCTGCATTAGAGAAAGAAGACCTTAGTTCCATTTTACAGCCTCCAAATGAAAGGTCACAATTTTATGATATAGGTTTAGGATCAGGAACAGCTTCTGACAAACAAGAGACTTTAATTCAAAAGAGAGTTTCTGATAAAGAATTTAGTGAGTCATCTCTTTCACTGAATCAGCAACAAAAAGAATTTTATTATGAGGTACTTCATAGAACGAAGACAGATAGTAATCCATACTACCTCTTCCTTTCAGGTGGGGGAGGAGTCGGAAAATCGCATATTCTGAAAACCCTCTACCAGGCTCTAGTAAGATACTTTGATAAGATTCCTGGAGAAAACCCAGATGATATGAAAGTGATTATAGCCGCCCCAACTGGAAAAGCTGCCTACAATGTCCGTGGAAATACACTTCATAGTTTATTTGGTATACCATGTAACCAAAGTCTTGCAACATACATACCACTGGACCATAGCTCACTGAATACTTTTAGGTGTAGATTCAACAAGTTGAAAATCTTGATCATAGATGAAATATCCATGGTTGGTGTAAATATGTTTAACTTTGTGTGTTCCCGGCTCCAGCAGATATTTGCTTCTCCTCTACCTTTTGGTGGCATATCAGTGATTGCAGTTGGGGACCTGTACCAACTGAGGCCTGTACGTGACTGCTGGATCTTCCAAAATAGTGATTATCAGTATGGTCCAATAATAATTAACCTATGGCAAGATCTTGTTGAAATTTATGAATTAACAACAATAATGCGACAAAAAGATGATGCCTTGTTTGCAGAATGTTTAAACAGGATAAGGGAAGGAAAACAAACAAAGCTAGACATGGACATGTTACAAGCAAAACTAAGTAAAAAAGAAAATAGAAGTGAACACATTCACTTGTTCAGCTCTAATGCCCTTGTTGATGAGCACAACAGGAAGGCACTATTGACCAAAACTGGAAAAAGTTTCACATCTGTAGCTCATGATTATGCTGTAGGCAATTTTCCAGCAAGTAGCAAAAAGGCTGTGCTGTCTATTGCTAAAGCTCTCGAACCTCAGAAAACTCAGAGTTTACCATATGAATTATTACTAAAAGAATCAGGTAACTACATTGTGACTCACAATCTCAATACTAGTGATGGGCTCACCAATGGCGCAGACTGTAAGATAATGCTGATTCAATGTTTTAACAACAATCCGTCTGTAGTATGGGTTATGTTCCAGGAATCAGACATTGGTGCAGACACACGGACTGAAAATGCACATTTGTACATGGCTAGTCAACAGATTGACAAATCATGGACTCCAATATTAAAAGTCGAAAAACAATTTCAAGTAGGGAAAACAGATAAGATGAAAGTTGTTCGAAAGCAGTTTCCATTAAAGGCAGCTGAAGCCATGACAATTCACAAATCACAGGGTTCTACACTTAATAAAATTGCAGTATCATTCAAAGGCAGAGTAGGGAAACATATGGTGTATGTTGCTCTGAGTAGAGTCCGATCTCTTGAAGGGCTATCTCTTATAGATTTTGATGCCAACAAAATTAAAATTGATGCTTTAGTGGAGCAGGAAATGACAAGACTGCGTACTCACAAAGAATTAGTAAAGATAACAACAAAAATTCCTGTATCAGAACTGACTATAATATGCCATAATGCAAGATCCCTTCATAACAACATTAAGCACTATCGAAAAGACCATAGACTAATGAATACTGATGTCATAGTTGTACAAGAAACATGGGCCAAAAAAAACGACTCTAAGGAACATTATGCCATGGAAGGCTTTCAAGATCCAGTTTGTCTGTACACTGACAATAACAAACACAGACCACATTCCGGAACATTTATTTATGTTAAACAAGGAATAGCAATTCTGTCTAGTACTCACACAACAGAATTGGGAATCGAAGGTTCAAGTGTGGTGATTCGCAAAGGCAATAAACTCTATGAAGTCATCTCTGTGTACTGTCATCCACCTGGAAATGTCAACAAAATATGTACAGCTGTTAAAAAACTACATCGGCAGAATGTGCCATTAGTCATCGGTGGTGACATGAACATTGACCAACTCAAACCCTCAAAATGCCAGAAACTGTATGATTTCTTAAAGAACACAGTTAATGCTTTACCAGCTCTATGCATGGAGACCACAGACTATCATTCAGCACTTGACCACATCTACACAACAGAGACCAACTACAAAACAGGGGTATTAGAAACATACTGGAGTGACCATAAGATGACCTGGATTTCATTCTTGGATTAAGGTTATAATAATTAATGAATAAGTTGGAAATTATTTTTAAAATTTATAGCCTTTTTTAAAGACACTTTTAATTTTTATCTGCCTTTTAAGTATCATCCGGCGCATGGTACATAAGCCAAGTAAGTTATTGTATATTTTTATCTAAAAAACTATTAATAAACTAAAAAACAAACTAAATTCCCATGTTTCTTCCATGACATCATCGAAGTATTTTCTTAAAATTGTGAACATATTTTTCTTCATATCGCACAAAACGCCCGACACCAATATTGTTGACAAAAGAAAATGACAAGAGACGCAAAAATGCAAAGATTAAGCAAAAATAAAGAACTGTTTACCTTTCTAAAACATATGGGAAAAAAAGCGAATAGACAACATAAAATTTCTCAATCATTTTTGTTTGAGGAATATTAAAAAAGCCATAATTCCTCCTAAAAGTTCAATTAAAAACAAATGCCCCTTCATGACAAAGCTTCTGTGAAATATTTTGCTGAAAACCTGGTTGCATCGCATTGCGATGTTTCTTGTTTCTTCCATATTCTACAATATTCCATTATATTTTAAATTATTTATCTTTATTTTCAACGGAAATTTATATCGTTATAGCGGTAACTATTTTCTTACAACAGCGTATGAAATTGCAACTTAATTCATAACGGTAAAATGACGTAATCTTAAGCGTGCCATTGTACAGCACGCGACTCATCTGGCACCCCCCATGCCAGATGAAATTTCCGGCATGAGTAAAACACACGGAGACGCCAGTCTGCTATGCAAGAAAAGTACATTTGTATTATAATGTGTGAGTTTCTGTTAAATACAGATATACATGTAAATGGAACCCATTTTTAGCTCGACTTTTTTTTTTTTTTTTTTGAAAAAAAAAGTAGAGGTATTGTTATAGTCAGGTCGGCGTTGCCGTTGCCGTCCGCAAACTTGTACCTGGATCATAACTTTTTTATTTCTTGGTGTATTGTCTTCATACTTGGCCACAACAACCCTTGGGACAAGACCTTTCAGTAGACCACACTTACCTTGACCTTCATCCATAAATGACCTTGACCTTCAAGGTTAAAAGTCCAATTTTTGCTTGTTCATGCTGTTATTGGCTGTAACTTTGTTATTTTTGAATGGATTGTCTTCAAACTTGAACATAATAATCATCAAGGATATCCCTTAAAAATAACTTGCCAGACCTTGACCTTCACTCATAAATGACATTGACTTTGAAGGTCAAATTATTGAAATTTTCATTTTTTTGGCTATTATTGGCTGTAACTTTGTTATTTTTGAATGGATTGTCTTCAAACTTGAACATAATTATCTTCAGGGATATCCCTTAAAAATAACTAGACAGACCTTGACCTTCACTCATAAATGACCTTGACTTTGAAGGTCAAATTATTGAACTTTTCATTTTTTTGGCTATTATTGGCTGTAACTTTGTTATTTTTGAATGGATTGTCTTGAAACTTGAACATGATAATCTTCAAAGATAACTGTTAAAGATATACCGAAAGACCTTGACCTTCACTCATTAATGACATTGTCTTTGACGGTCAAATTATTGAAATTTTCATTGTTTTGGTGGTAACTGACTGTAACTTTGCTTTTATTGAAGGGATCAACTTCATATTATAACAGAACATTCTTAAGGACCAGACCTCGTTGTTTATCAAACCCAAATTTGCTTGGGCTCTTTAATGACATTGACCTTGAAGGTTAAATTACTGAATTTTCTCAGATTTGTGCATTAAATGACCATAATTATATATTTATTGGTGTGTGTTTGTGTGTATATATATATATATATTTACAACAACAACAACAAGAATTGCGTCATTGTTTCTATTTATAGAATTGCGTCATTGTTTCTATTTTTAGAAATTGCGTCATTGTTTCTATTTTTAGAAATTGTGTCATTGTTGCTATTTTTAGAAATTGCGTCATAGTTGCTATTTTTAGAAATTGCGTCATTGTTTCTATTTTTAGAAATTGCTTCATTGTTGCTATTTTTAGAAATTGCGTCATTGTTTCTATTTTTAGAAATTGCGTCATTGTGGCTATTTATAGAAATTGCGTCATTGTTTCTATTTTAAGAAATTGCGTCATTGTTGCTATTTATAGAAATTGCGTCATTGTTTCTATTTTCAGAAATTGCGTCATGTTGCTATTTTTAGAAATTGCGTAATGTTGCTATTTTTAGAAATTGCGTTATGTTTCTATTCATATATATATACAAAATATATAAACAAAACTAATGTGACAAGACAGACCAACTAAATTTATAAAAAGGAAACGTTAAGATATGTTCAAACCTTTCTATGTTTGCGTTTAGAAAAAGTAAAAAGTCGAGCGTTGCCCCCGCCCGGCGGTGGCTCTTGTTAGCTTGACTGTTTGTAGGAAAGGGATAGCTAGCTTTTGTACTCCCCGACTTAAGCTTGAACAGTGTCGGCATAGCATTCACAATTGGTTAACTTTTTGCTTGCTTTTAATTATTACCTCCAAAACTAAAGAAGGAAATGGAATGGAACTTCATATAATTGTTCTCTGTGAGTATCCAACATGATGTCAATTGATAAAGAAATCTAACTTTTTGTGCCCCCACGTTTGTGGCGGGCATTTAGATTTACCCTTGTCCGTCCGTCCGTCCGTTCACTTTTGTGTCGCACGTAACTCAAAAAGTATTTGACCTAGAGTCATGAAACTTTACAGGAATGTTGATCAGCATGTGTAGTTGTGCACCTTGTCCCATAATATTTTTACTTTATATTTTCTTACAGTCGAGCACTAACTGAGAATTGCCGGGCGCACAGTCTTTTTCTGTATAAACGTTGATGTAAGTTTTGCCGTGTTTCTGGTACTTCTATTTATTCTATTTTCTTTTATTGCTATGGTATGGTTGTTGAAAATGCTTTAAAACATAATCTATATTATTGAAATATCACACTAACCATTCAAACATGACTATAGTGAGCAAATGTGAACTTTTATCAAAGAGTGCAAGACGAGCTATGGAATCTATTTAAATACATACGTGTGAACTCTACCCACTTTTAGCGGGAGACTCTCACCTTCTACAGCCATATTTTCAAAGATTTTTCTTAAAATAAGTGGTATTTTCACAAATTAAAGAAATCTCCCTACTTTGGATGTCAGAACTTCTTTCTTTGTCGATTGCAAAATTCTAAAATCTCCCTCTTTTTGAAGAAAAATCTCCCTCTTGATCATTGGAAAAAGTTCACATGTATGGTAAATAAAGTTCACGATTTTAAACAGTTTTGATTTAATACTTTTAAGAAACTTTAAGAACTCTTATGTTGTATCAATATCAGACTGTTGCGCTTTTGTTTGGGGATATAAATAATATCAGCCTGCTGAAAACATCCAGAATAGGGCAATACGCCAATACGAGCAGTAACGGGGGATAACGGGCGGTTTCTCAGTGTTTAGCGTAAGTGGCTGGCAATGATTAGATATAAATGAATGACAATTTATTAACAAAATGTGCCTTTAATAGTGACTACAGGTCAACAAATAATAATAGTTGGTGCAGTCAAATATGAACGGTTAATTATGTCCCGGCTAAATATATAATAGAGTACAACAACATTTGAGAACTGGAATCCTTCCTCTTTGGACTGAAACCGGTGGCTATGTAGGTGAAACCGCTGAACAAATGATTTGTAGGTTATGCGATATATAGAGAGTTGATGCTCTGTGTATAATGATGTGAAATGAGTGAGCTTTGGTCACACGCTAAATAATGGTGTCTTCCTTAATTAGAAAATCAAACACAAAAAACTTGTCTATTTCATTCACAACTGTCTCAGAACATGCGCTAAATTTATTGTGAAAGTATATTAGATTTATACTTAAGAAAAAATCCTCCGGCAAGCATAATATTATTTTATTGAACGAGTTCAAGCAATAAATTTAGTAATGAACTTACACGAATATAATATTCTATTTATCATATACCCACTATAAAATTGTTGAAAGTATAAAAGTAACGTTTTCATTGACGCGCCTATAGTATAACGCTAGTTAATATTTAGCATGTTAGCGCATCGTAAAACGTAAATGACGTCACGTCAAAAATACATGTATATATGCGCGGCCGTACAATACCATTTTTACGGAGTCACAAAAGCGGCACATACATATGTGTGCGATAAATAGAGGATAGTGCATGAATGAGTGTAAGTTCAATACTGAATTTATTGCACAAGTTGAATAAAATTATATTATGCGAGCCTCTGCATGGCGAACTAGATAACATGGAATTTTAAACAGGTATCAGGGGTTTGGGTGTCATTTTGCGTTCTAACAGTTAGACAACTACAGTCATTTTAACAGACTATTCTCCCATCTATCTTACATTGTTATGTTATTCTACGTCTAAGTTACGGTCACTAAATTCCCATCTTGCTGCGTTTTTATCATAATTAAACCCCGTCCTGACTGTGCGACAATTGCATTTTACGGAGGACTTTAAATATCTGAACTTGAGAAAATGCCATTCTGAAGTTCCATATTATATTCTGAAAGGGATAAGAAATTCTATAAATATACTTGATTTCGTTGGACTTTTCAGTGGTTCAGGAGCTGTGTGACTGAATGCTGTCAGAGGCTGCGCCCCAGCAAACATACCTATATCGGGCCGATATCGGCTAAATGTCGGAATATCGAAGTCAGCTTTCCGCCATCGAACCGATATATATCCGATATAGACAAACTTGTTAAAGACAGGATGATATCGGTCCGATATAGGTCCAATATACATTTATATTAAATATGTGTTTTAGTATATTCTTCTCAAATTCATTTCAGCAAGAAATCGGGATGCTTTTGTAAAGAGTAATTAAGTCGTTTTCATAAAAAATACTTCGGTGCTTATCGTTAGTTAAACATACATGGTTTTTAAACATTGAAATATGTATGTGTAAATTATAAAATATATTTTGTATATGAATTTTTAATTTTGCTGATGTAAT